CCGGACCGGGCCGGCAGCTGCACAGGGAACCGCGGCCGAGCCCGAGTTCCCGGGCGGCGAGCGAGCAGCAGGGCGCGAGCAAGGGCCGGCGCCATGGCGGGTGAGTGCGGCCGGGCACCGGGGGGCGGTGGTAATGGACGTGTGTTTGTAGTAGACATGGGTGTGTGTAATGGACATGGGTGGGGTGTGTCGTGGGCATGGAAAGCTCTGGATGTGTGTACCAAATGGAGACCAGGTGAGCGGCTCCCATCCTGTAACAGGGCAGGTTGGATCTAGCCCTTCTAGATCCCGACATCCGTATCGGTGGGGCTGGCGTCTCTGGCTGTGTAGCGCAGGCTGTCCTGAGCTGATGCTCACTTCACTTAGAGCAGTGGTTCGTGGCCGGGTTTTCCTGCGCATCCCCCCACGAGAATGTGGGGACAGGCTTCCTCCACACTCACTTCGGTGGTGCTTTCAGCTCAAAGCTCATGACTTAGCTCTGCAGGAAAAAGCGTGAAATAAGTTAAAACAGTCTGTTTATAATCTGCATCTTCATTAAAGGCAGTGTAATTTCCATTGCATACATGGGGGCTAAACATAGACACTTGTTTAGGCAACTTGGTTACCTGTTACGATGCCCGAATCCTTCTCTGCTGTTATGGCATGGATTGGTATTTTTTCCTGCTGTGGTTGATATATTTGCCTTCTAAGGCATGCTCCCATATACCAACCAAACCTTCACTTTTTAAATGAAAAATTGCTGTTCTGCTGGACCGCCACTGACTCTGCATCTCTTGGCTATTTATAGTCGGAGGCTCAGCACTATAACTGTGCATTTAAGCAGTGGTTCCCAATCACTTTTGTACCAGGACCCATTTGTAAACACCAGTGGCCAGTCCTGACCCAGTGCCCCTCACTTCTGACCCGCTGTCCCCAGCCCCACAGTGTGTGTGTAGGGCACACCTAGACTAGTAAATCTACTAAGCTATGAGAAGCTGTCATTGTGCACACATTTTATAAACTGACTTGTGGTTTGGATACTTTAATATTTAGGTGTCCAAGCTGAGACACTTTTTTTAAGGGAACTGATTTTCAGGGGCTAGGCGCTCAGGCTTCCTGTAAGTTATGTTAAATTGATAACTGATTTGATAGCCCCAAATCACTAGTCACTTCTGAAAATCTGTTGGCCTGCTTGTTTTTGTTTTTCTGCTACTTAAAGTACTAGTGTTAAAATCTACAATCATGATTTTAGGAACAGTAGTAAACACTTGTCCAAGTATTTATTTTATTTGGTTTTAACGAAATAGATAGTGAACAAACATTAGAAAATGTGAATTTAGAGCTAAGACTGATCACTTTCAGAATGGCTCATTTAAACTTAAAAAACAAGCGGAAATTAAATTAAAAGAGCTAGATGTACATATGAGTTTCAGAGCTGTTCACATCAGAAGAGGATATGGAGAAAGAAGTGAGAGAGGGAGAGCTGCCACAACAACAACGTAATAAACATAAATGGAGCAGGCAAACAGGAATTGGCAGACATAATGCAATTAATTTTTATCTAAGAAAAGCTTTTGTATCTTGCATCTTTCATAGAAGTTTAAAAAAAAAAAACAATTTTAGAGGTGGTTGCATTAACTAAGAGTAGTTGCTGTCCTCAAGAAAAATGGTGTCTAACCTGTATCTGCTTTGTGAATGCATGTTAAGTCAGCCATTGCTAGTGCATGTGCTTGATCTGCTTTTCTAAATGTTGCCTTATAGTCAGATAAATAAAATTCTTTCAAATTTTATATTGTATTTTAAAGCGGGTGAGATGAAGCAGGAGATATCTATCTCTCTGTTATCAGTGCTGAATAGATTTTCAACATATTGGCAACTGGCAAAGGAATTTTTCAGCAGAGGAAGCTTTTAACTTCCTAGTATTTACTGACTCTGTTACTATTCTATAATGTCACATGATAACAAAGAGGAAGTGTGCAAAGCAGTTTTGCTTAGAGTGCTACGCAGGTCCTGAAGACTTAGGCAGGGGATTACTCTTTTCTAAATTAAGAGGATATTTGCACTTATTTCAGGTTGTAGGCAAATATTTTATAATAGACTTGTTACCTCTGAATTATCTGCCTAGGTCCCTACCCTTCAGAGAGCTGCAAATGCTTAGAATATAATATCTGACTTTTCAGAACAGCCTCTCATTTTTGGGGGGTGCTCAGCTTGGAAGAGTTGGCTCAGAGGCTCTGAACTATCATGTGAGTTGGACAGACAGAATTTTCTCAGCAGTGCCACCATAGTGTCTGCTGCATATACCTCATTTCATGGGCATTCTGAATAGTGATTCATGTTGTGGAGCCACTGTGCTTACGCTGCCATCACTCCCTGGCCCACCTCCACCTTTTTCTCATACTTCAGATTTTGCTGCAGAACACATATCCAGACAACATCCCTAAGGGCCATGTAAAAATTACCAGTCCTGCTACATAACATCTTCACAGCCTGCCTCAAAAGGATCTCTGGCTTTGTAAGTTGGAGACAGCTGGAAATAGGAGACAGTTGTTTTCCCTCCTGTGTATTGAAACGTATATAGTATGTCACAGCCACCTTCCTGTGGTTCTTCATTTCACCTTTCCCCTTGCTCATCTCTGAAGTCTGACTAGGTCTCTCCAGATACTATACAAATCATTGGTGTGAGATGAATGGTATGCACACACCTTCTTCCTTATGGTCAGCTGAGCAGTCAGCATTTGCTTCCATTATTTACTTCAGATGGCTTGTGATGTATCAAACTTTAAACTGGTCTTCATTTCTCACTTGAGTTGTGTTAGCTTTTTGCTTGGTCACCTGTCACTTAATACAGAATACAGTAAAACAAGTTCCAGGTCTTGAGTTAGTGGTACTTTAATTCCTTGTTAATTCTTATTGACGTTGATGGTTTCAATAATTTCACCCTCTAATATCATGGAGAACTTCAACCTCTCATTTTCTTTTACAGTATTTAAAAGCTTTTAGAGTATTCATGGATAGAAAAAGACAATGTAGCTAAAAGGAACAAAAGCCATGCTGGAACACATGGTATAATAATCCAGTAGACAGTAAATTATAGGTAATTATAACCTCTGTAAGATAAAACAATTACATTGTCTTTCCTTTAATAAGAAGAAATGTTAACTAGATTTTTCAGGTTTCTTTCATTTAAATTCTTTACTAAATGCTTGATTTATACACAACCAGGTAACTAAGGAGCTTATTTTTCTTGTCTAGAATTAGTCATCTTTGCCATTGCAAGAATGTTCACCTTTGATATAGCTTTTTTTCAGAGTAAAGAAATATAAACTAATTTGTTGTTTCTATGTGGGGAACCAGACTGTGTTTCAGAGTCGGGATTGTGAAACAGTCTAAACTCTGTTACTTGGGCAAGAGCACCATTAATTTGCAGAAAAAGGGAAGAGGAAATTTGTTTTCTGATTTATTACAAAGAGTTCCAATTTCCTAGTCTTAGTTTTTACAAACACTTTTATGTACTACTTGTCCACATCAGCTTGCTGAACTGGTGGAGGATGATCTGATTCTTAAATAAAGGGAGAATGTCAAGTTAAAGTGAAGTCTAATGTTTAATCTCTGGAGGTTACTGCCATCATTGGATTCTTATTTACCAAAAGCACACCTACTGTTAAGCAGTGGGCTTGTCTTAATGACGGTTATTTCAACCACAAGTTAAGTCCACATAAGGACAGTTGAGGTTTGACTTTTAAAATAATGTCATCACTGGATAAGAAACGTGTCTCTTGAGCAGATACTGGTTATTACATGAATGCCAAATTTTAGGTTAAAGTAAGAAGGCAGAAAAGATTTGAAATGATTGCTGTACAATCAGAATCAATATGGCCATACATAGTTTTCAGAAGTACCCAAATGTTGCTGGGCCTGTCACCATGTGTATGCCTGCTTGTGCATGTGTATGTTGATATCCCCTAAGTCATGTGATGATGATACACTTACAATCTCTTACAAAGAGAGAGATTTTGGTCTTTAATTTTATACAGAATGCATTTGTCCTTGTTCATATCTAGGTCTCAAAGTGCTCCACAAAAGCCATGTGCCTTTATCTTCTTTTTTAACAAAGGACAGAAGTTAAGGGGTAGGCCCAGGGTCAGACCACTGGCCAAAAGCTGATCCTTCTTATTTCCTAGTGTGGTGCCTCATCTGCTGGATTTAGGAGAGTGCTTGTTAAGGGAACAGGAGCTGCCATCTATTGCATATGGTTGACCACTGTCCAGTGTCATTCTTTCTTTTGGATGGTGACCTGCAGATTCATTGGATGGACAGCGGTCACTTAGATTTTGTGAGAAGCTATTAAAAAAATGCCAGGGTACGTTCTGTGATTACCCCCCACACGCACACAATAATTCAAGAACAAAATATGAATCAAGGGAGTCTAGGAGGCAGCAAATTCTGTTTGTTCAGTCTGCTTACCCCAGCAGCCTGACACTTCCACAGTTTGAACTGCTAAAGGTCTCCAGCGTGTCCATAGACTCATAGTTTTTAAGGTCAGAAGGGAACATTTTGATCCTCTACTCTGCCTTCCTCCATAATGCTAGAGAAAAAAAACCCCTCAACCAGTGTTTTTTACATCAAGCCCATCACTTCAGGCTGAGATTTGATTTTAAGAAAAAAAGAAAGACCTCCATTTAAAGATGGTTCCATTAAAACCCAGCAACGTAGTTCTTTGAATACATCCTCATTCCATCTCTATCCACAAAAGAATATAAAAACCTCGCATAGGTGGAACTCTCTTCATCTGTCATTCTCCTCCTAAACGAGTTGTCATGTCACATAGCCTGTTATAGTTCCCTACTTTGGAAAATGAAGTGTTTTCTAATTCTGAAGTAAAAGACATTTTGCTACCAGCAAGCAAAGAAGGAACCAGCATTCTTGTGTGTGTTACTGTGATCAATTAATACTTTTAACTAAAATCATTCCCATTCTCCTGTGCCATTTTTCAGTTGTGTTGCTGCTTATCTGCTTGTCAATTCCTGTGATCTCAGAAAGGGTGGAATTTTCCCTCCTGTGCTGGGGCACTAGTGAGACAAAAGTAACCCTGTGTTGGGCACATGCAGAGGGTTACACATAATTCTGAAATAGTATTTAGACTCCTACTGAAGTCAGTCTCTCAAAAGCTTTTACTAATGCCAGTCCTGCCATCTGCCCCACCCCTCTTTTCCATGTCATCCATTTCCCTAAAAGCCTTCATCTTGCATGCAGAAGTTCTTTGGCAGCTTCCATTAGCTTTATTATAGTCTTGGGGGAGACCCAGCTGCTATTGTCTGCTCCTGGGAGAAGTAGACACAATGTAGACTTCACCAGCAGCAAGCATGCAGCTACTGGGACCACAATGATGGTATTTAGCATATTAGCATTTTTGTAAGGTTTGCAGAGATTTTGTTTCTTCGTTGCTGTAGGTACAAAATCGATCAAAGCTGAGGAAACACCTTTACTCTGGGAGGACCTGTATTTAGAAGAGTCCCCTGTAATTTTAAAATTTTGACCATTCTCTTGAATTAATGAAACTATTCTTTTCTACACCTTTCAGTAGAAAAGCCCTTTCTGCCATTACAGGGCATGTGTAGACAAAAGGAGGGCCATGTATGTGTGACACTTTACAGCGGATTAAATGCTTTTGCACCACTTTAATGGTGTTGGTGTTTGCACACATCAGCAGTGTATTGCGCATTAATTCCAGCTACTGTCGCACATTCAGCGGCGTAATGCATCTTAAATGACTTTGGGGTGCAGCAAACTAAAACACCTCTAAGGAGTTTTAGTTTGCTGCCCTACAACCGCGGAGTAAAGCACAGGGTTCTGTGCGACTCAGGGGCTGTGCAGGCAGCCTGGCAGCAGCCAGGGACAACAGGCTCCACCAAAGCAAAAAAAAAGCGTTGAACCTGATCTCTCTCTCTTTTTTTCCCTCGGAGCCTTCCTGCATGAGCTGTGCAGGGACCTGGTCCTTCTCTCTGTGGCTGCGGTGCCCCCTGGAACAGCACAAGCCGGCCACCTGTGGGCAGGTGCTACCTGGGGAGGGGACCCGCCACTGCTGTAGAGGGAAGCACCAGTCTGTGTGTCGTTCCCTCCCAAACCCCGCACCCAGGAACCACTCTGCCCACTGGCAGCTCACTCTCCCCTCCCTGCCGCTGGAAAGGGAGGTAAGACACGGGTGTACATGACATGGGAGTTTACTTTGCCCTAAATTGAAGCAGTGTTTTTAAAAACCCACCACTTCAGTTTAGGGCCCCTGTTTCATCTACACATACCCAAAGAGACACTGACCAATACGTAGAGGAACCCTGCTAATGATCATTTGTATTACAGGTGTGCCTAGAAGGCCTTTGCTGTGTAAATGCATATACGCAAATAATAACAGAAGAGCAGATAGCCTAAAGATGGGTAAAGGATGGAAGAGAGGAAAATACTATTATTCTTCTTTCATGCACAGATAGAGTGACATAGGAAGGTCAATAGGAAGGCTCTGGCAGACCCAGGAATAGAACTCATATCTCAAAAATGTAATGCTAGTGCCCTAACCACAAAGACGCTTTTATTTTTTTGCTTTTTTAAGCTGTATTTTGTTGTAACATAAAATGCTTTCATTTTTGTTTTTAAAGGTGGACATGAACCCTATATTGAAATATTTGAGCAACCCAGGCAGCGAGGCATGCGCTTCAGGTATAAATGTGAAGGACGATCCGCAGGTAGCATTCCAGGAGAACATAGTACTGACAACAATAAGACATTCCCTGCTATACAGGTAACATTATTAGCTGTCATTATTATCATATGCTTTTACATTAAACTGTAGGAATTTATGGGACTGTATACTTGATTCTCCAGTTTGTTAGCCTGCCACACTAACTACACTGAAGCTGATGGAGTTACAACTCAGATGAAGGGAATGAAGTCCTCTGTTTCTAGACACTAAATGTTATGATCTAAACTTTGATGAGAACAAGATGAGAGGCAAGGCTTTCTTGGGGTGATATTTTTTTATTGCACCAACTGCTTAGTTAGATAAACTCCTTTCAAGGTCTGTAGAAGGACATCTTGCATTTGAAAGCTTGTCTAACTCAGGACCAGCTGCAGAATCGAGATATTAAAAGATACTACCCTAGGAAATCCTTGCCTATCACATAATTCTTGGACCATAACTTTAACACTACATTGCTCTAACTACAACAAGATAAGATGCAGACAAGGGGTAATAAGCTAAGATGATGGGCAGAATAAGTACAGTTACTTGGCATAGGTTGCACAGAATGGATCATATTAGTTCTTAGCTTTTCATTTCTTCTGGGTTCTCAAGTATGTTTTTTACTATTTTAAGTGAAGTTGTGTAGAGATTGATTATGGGTTCTGAGGAAGGTTGTGAAAAAGTTGGTTTTAAGGTATAGGGTTTGAAAAGGCTGTTTTAGGCACAGGATGTAGCATGAGAAAAGCAGTATTGCCAACCCCACTGTGCCAAAAATCATGAGATGAATTCTTAAAAAAAATCAAGAGACTGACATGTAAATCATGAGATGGTATTTTTGAAGTGTGTGTGTGGGGGTGTTATTTGTGAAAGTGTTGGGAGCTGTGGGTGTGTGTGTGGGGGGTTTGGAGCCTGGAGCAGGATGCGGGGTATTGTGGGTCAGGACTGAGAGGCAGCAGCAGGGCTGGGCGCAGGACTGCGGTGGCAGTAAGCAGGAGTTCCCACAGACGCCACTGGTGCTGTCGATGGTGGGGGGGGGGGGAGCAAGGGCCAACCAGGGG